GGTTGGAGAGTATTGAATAGTGAATGACAAGTATTTGGTTTCTGAAAAAAGGTGGCTCTCCTGAGAAATCTAAACCCATGGACGCTTGGATCTTCTGTGGCTCCATTCCCCCCTTATATCTAGAACAATATGTGGGAAGTATTCCAATCAAGCACATGAAGATGTATGAACCCTGCTGAGAAAAGATTCTCAGGGAATATTATTCAGCACAGAGGAGGAAAAGCCTCCACTTGCTTCATAGGGTCAGGGATGCTATTATCTGTCTGAGCTTCATTGCTCTGAATAGCTCAACTCATTTTTGGTTATGATATTGGATTTTTGGGGTTTTTTTTTAGTTTAGACTCATATATCTGCCTTTTTTGTTCCTCTTTTCTATTAAAAAAACAAAACGATTTCAACAAAATAAAGACCTTGAGCCCTTCTTCAAAAAAAAAAACCCTAAGACAAACCATTTAGTAGAAAATAGATGTCGCTTATCCCTTGCCTTAAGAGTGAATATTAAGAAATCAAATCTTAAGTGATTCTGTTTGATAACATTTGCATGGAGGGATATGTAGAAAAATAGAAGACATTTTGCTTTGTATGGATGATTTGAAAATATTTGCTCTAAATCTGGGAAGGGAGTGGAACCAGAGGATCCTTGATTTCTTGGCACTTGACTTCACTGCCTAGACACAGGGAAGTCATTCATCTTGACTCAACTAGGAGCTGAGTCATTAGTTTAAAATACAAATCACATTCTTTTAAATTAACCCAGAAGCTGAAATAAAGCTTTAGGGTGACAGAGTAGGAAATGGAGTTAATATTCCTAAAAGAGAATGAATCTGGAAAGTATATTCCAGTCCTTATATTGATTGTATTAAAAAATAGTCTAGTGCAATCACCTTTTGTGCCTAACAATAATGATCAAAAAAAAAAAAAAAAAAAGACAAAGAGATGCTTGCCCTTTAGTAGGCAGACACATTTACATACATATGCATTGTGAAGTCAAAAGTCATGTTAACTTTTATAGCATCAGAATGTGATTAACTGAAAGGGTAGCAGGGTAGCTAACTTTGTTTTCTTTACAGACTTGGTTGCTTTGATAGAGTCTTCGTAACTTCTGCTTTCGTAGGCTTGCTACTTATGAATAGATGAGTAAGAAATTAAACAATTTTTTTGACCTACAAAAGGTCACTGTTCAATTTTTATGCTAATTTCATGCAGGTGATTTAGTATATTTACTACTTTCCTACTATCTAATAAAACAGACTCTAAGATGTTTTGTGAACTAAAAGAGAAAACCCTTCCATAACTGAAGATACTCATCCACACGGCTGTTTAAGCCAGTGAGTACTGGCTCTCCTGTTGTTTTTCGATTATACTCTCTTTCTCTTTCAATTTGTTTGACTTTTTAAACATATTTTATGTATATAAATCTTCTTTTTCTATGAATGCCTGAAAGAGGGCATCAGATCCCATTACAGGTGCTTGCATGTGTTGCATGTGGTTGCTGGAAAATGAACTCAGGATCCCTGTAAGAGCAGTCAGTGCTCTTAATCACTGAGTCAGCTTTCCAGTCCTTTGTTTAGCGTTTTTAAATTTTATTTATTTGTTTATTTATTTACTTACTTACTTCTTTATTTTTGTGAATGTCCCCGTGTAGCTGCCTGGAACTCATTTTTTAGTCCAGGCTGGCTTTGAATAATTGGAGCTCATCTTTCTTTGTCTCTTCAGCACTGGAATCTGAGTCATAAAGCACCAGATCCAGCAAGCATCTTATCCTTGATTCCAAATCTTGAAACTGATGACTCAGAATTGACTTATTCTCTACAAATATATCCTAGTCTCAATGAGATATTAATGGTTTTTTTTTAGAAGAAAACAATCTGTGAGCAGATAAACTTAAATGAAATAACTGATCTACTAGCATTCTATTAACAAAGACAGGCTAAAATGAATTAATGAAAAAAATGTTCAACACTAAAAATCAAAAGTACAGAAATATTTTATTTTCCCAAACAATTAATAACAAACCTTTCAGCTCAATATTTGTTAGAGTAACAATATATAACAGCCATTCGCAGGGGCACAGCTTGGTATGACTCTGGAGGACTGCTCAAAGACATGCTTCTGTTTAACACCGAAGAATTCACCCAATTGAAACTACATGTTTACTGCAACACTTTATTTGAAAGTCTGGGCTTGTACATAGCATGAACATTGCAGGAAAGGTACAGATCCGATTCCTATTTGTTCTTTCCATATTAAACTGTATGTCTCCCAAGTCTTATAAAGGAGCTTCTGTATTTGAGATTGACAGTCCAGAAAAGTGCACATATTTAAAAGAATCAGTATGCTTAGCTTTGGTGTCTTTATAAACTTATGAAACTATCAACCTAATGAAGACAATAAACACATCCACTACATGTTTGCTATGTCTTGTAATACCTTCTACCCTCCCAATCCTTGTTCCTGGCAGCAGACAACCAATGACCAGTTCTTTGTCAGAATGGTTTAGTTTGTATTTTCTGGAATATTATTTGATAGTACTCAGATTAATAGTTTTGTGTTTGATCCATATTACCACATATCAATAGTGCCAATAGTGACTCCTTCCTACTTATTACTCAGCAGTATCTCTTGTGTGACCACATACACATCTGTCCATCCTGCTACTCATGCATGTTTGAATTGTTTCCAGGTTTTATCACTTATAACAACCCTTATAATTGGTGTTGTGTAACAAAAAGTTACTCCAGCAGAATCTGAGTTAGACAAGGTAGAGTTTATATATTAATTCCAAATTACAAAGCATAAAACTATATATTTGGACACGAGCAAAGAGCATTTATCAAATTTTATAGCTACTGTGCTTGCAAAATCTATCAGTGACTTGGGCAGGATATTTACAAAAGAAGACAAGAAAGAAACGACCTGGTTTTACCTTTAAATAACTAAAGAAAATCCTTTTTGTTGTATGATTTACTTTAATACAATTTGTTTTATTATGTTACCTTCCTCCATTATTCAAAAGCAGTTAGGGTGTTTCAAACATTTATGAGTTTATGCTTTTACACAAAAAACCATTATAAATATGAAATATAAAATATCTCCCAAACAAGACAATTAAGACAAGTTCCTCAATTGTTTTGTTGTTGTTGTTTAGAGATTTAATTTGGTCAAGTAAGGTGCACTGCTCTTTTTGGCGGTCCATCTTAATTGCATGTTATAGCATGGTTTGCTATTCCAGGAACAATTTCATAATTGCTATCTTCAGAGTAGAATAACATAACAAAGGGCATCTTCTATTAACATTTAGCAAAGTGTTACACATAGCACTGGGTGATTGCGGGCTTCAAATTATTAAGAATACTTAATACTGGTTATACATGTTCACAGAATAGCAAGATCATTTTCATTTATTCCAATACTTAAAATTTTAGATTTTGTGAAATAGCCTTTCTGAATAAAGGGACTAGAAGCCATTTTGTTCCTTTGTGAGAAACAATACAGAAAATTATCTAAATGGATTGACTGAAATACATTTGTTGTGATGTTGCTGTATGCATCCCCAGCTCCTGTATATGTCCTCTGTATCTCAGTTCAAATACTGACTTCCCTAAAAATCTGTGCTTTCCATTTCTGAACATCTTCTTTCCTTAAAACAGTACATTCCTCCTCTCCTCTTACTCTACCTCCTCATCCTTTTCTACTGTTAGAGATCTGAGCTAGGGGTTTGTGTACACTGGACAAGCATCTAGATTCCTTAGTTTTATATGTCTGGGGTTACCATTGGCCTCATATTTCCGGCTGTTAGTGTGTCCACGTATGTCCTCATTATTACAGGTTCTTTAACCATTTCCCAGATTTTGGAAATGAATAAAAACTGATTCTATTGCATGCACCCAGTGTAGCATCGTCATTACTTGCATAGTTCTTGCTGTTTGTCAGAAGTCGATGTAATTGATATAGTTAATAGGCTATCAAAATGTCATGAACCAAACACTTACTTCACGATGGCTTCTACTGAATTTCTCTTGGGTAATAAGAAACCTTTTAGAAATGATGGGACTGAAAACCACTTTGAATAGTATTTCAGTGTTTTGAGTTCATGTTGTCTGCTACTTTAATGCTCCATTCTTTTTCAATTTAGGAATGTTTATTGTTATTCAGCGCCAATTTTCTTTGTATTATCATTTTGAGTAAAGGCTTCTCTGTGCATCTTTGATTGTCTCTGTAGACCAGATTGGCCTCAAACTCACAGAGATCTACCTGTCTCTGCCTCTCAAGTGCTGGGACTAAAGGTGTGTACTACCTTGCCTGGTTTGTTAATTTTATTTTAATGTTTCATCATTGTGTATGTTTGGAAGAAATGAGACCGAAACAAAAAAGCCATCTTAGAGAGAGACTCAAAAGATGACTTAGCCGATAAGGAGATTGAGGATTTGAGTTCAATCCCCTGTGACTCTCGTGGTAAAAGGAGAAAACCAAGTCCAGAAAGTTGTCCTCTGACCTCGCCACACATGAGTACACACATGTTCATATGCACAATGTATAAATACGTTAAATTAAATTCATAAGGGTTTTAATATTTTACAACCTAAACCTGTGGGGTCAAGTTTCTATTTTTCTTTGTAATCTCTTCTCAGGTACTTCTTCCTTAATTAGTAAGGCATTCAACTTCGAGTGAATGGCTAAAAATATTTTTAAAAATAGCTAAAATGTAGGTAATCTTTAGTTTGTTTATAATCTACCAGTAAAGTCAGTACTAGAAGATTTCATAGGTTTAATATTGGTATACAGAACCTAGCACCAGATGAACTATTGTCCTTCTTTGATTGCTACAATTGCATAAGAATATTATAAATTATCTCATACCGTATGCAATTACTATATAACCAGTGAAAATATCTAACTGAATAAAAGAAAATCGTGTGCTCCAGGAATGCGGAAATAGGCTGCCTGTGGGATCTGAGAACACTTAATGCTCTGTAGTCACCTTGAGTACTTAATTGCAGCTGTAATGTGGATTGTTCTGGAAAGTGGACAGCTTCCTGGGATGTTATTACTTCTGACGATGGAGACACTGAGGAGAACCAGCGGAAGCAGCCTTTTCATTACTCCAGAGCATCATTCAAATACCATCGTCTTCTTTGGGCTTCATGATGTGCAGATGATTGGAAAGCAGAGGATGCCTCAGGACCATGGGGTTTTAACTCTTCCTTGTTACGGCAACAGCTTTGTGAACTGGAATTAAATTGGTATGGAATAGCAATTTTGTGTATTTCATAACCAAGGATTTGTATTGGGAATAAATGAAATGGAAAAGTAAAATAAAAAAGGCTAGACGACAACCCAGTGGCACCCTCGGATATGAGTGGTAGAAGCTGAAATATTTGATTGCAGACATATTGCCAAGAGTTGGGCTGATTGAGAAACATGAAAACTCAGGGTGATGGACTTTAAGGGGCCTATGAGAACTAGAGAGAGTAACCATAAGCAGAAAATATGGAAGGCTGGGTGTGGTGGCAATCAGGGAGCTGAGTCTGGCACTTGGTCTAGAAATAAGTCTCACCCAAAGAGATTCAAGAAACATCAGGAGTTGTAAGTAGTGAAATCTACAAGACAAGACATGGTCTTACTATGTCTGTGTCCAAGTGACAGATGACAAGACACAGTCTTACTCTATCTGTGCCCTGGTGACAGATGTGGGACCTGGAACTTCAGAGAGCTCAGATGTGCACCAACTATGAATGCAAAAATCACTTGAAAGCTATGCAAGGTTAGCGAAGTTGAGCTTTACTTTGCTGCAGGCCAAGAGCAAATGTTTTCAGGTAATATTTCTACTAAAAAGTTTCATCATAAATTAGTGACTATAACAAAAATAATAAAGTCAACTTGCTCAACATCTCACACTTTGTAATAGAATCTCGCCATCTTTTCCCATCCTCACTGAGATAGAGTGATCTCAGTATAAGACACATTTAATTTCACAACTGGAACACAGGAAATCCCAGCCATCCCCAGTTATATGGTAACTATCTGAGGTGACAGTTATGTGCCATATGATAATAGTTTCATACAGTATATTTCCCCTTACAGTAATGTGTAAAAGTTTCACATCCTACAGAAGAATCAAAGAACACTAACGGAACGATCCTACTTGACATATAGAGAGACTCAGGCACAATTGACGATTTTAGAAAAGAAGAACCTTGTCTTACTTGAAGCAATTTACAAAGCAAATAAGCATACCAAAATCCCATTGTCAAATCAAACTAACTAAAGAAAAATAGACAGAATCACAAAGAGTGGAGAGTGAGAGACTCTAGAGCACTCAGCCCTATCTCAAATGCGTTTATCAAATTCATCATCTCAAAGCTCAGGAATCTGTGTGGGAGAAGAGGCAGAAAGGCTATGAATCAGAGGTAGTGGAGTACTCCAAGGAAAGAGCATGTTTCAGACACAACAGGACTGATACATATACAAACTCAGAGACACGATGAAAGCATATGTAAGACCTGAACAAGTTCAAACCTGCCAGAATGCCACCACTGAGACGAGGAAATGGATATAAAGTCCTACCCCTAACCAAGAAGCTATTTGCAAATGACATCTTCCAGGAAAGAGGAAATAAGCTTTAGTCAATGTGGTGTCGTATCACTAGGTGAATCAACAATATTCCAGGAAGGCCCCGTGTCCAGGACTACTCCATAATTTTTGTATGTTTTTGTTTTGGTATTTTGTGGTTTTTTAATACTTTTAAGCTGTCAGTTTTTCTATTGTTTGTTTTACAGAAAGAAAAAAACCTCGCAGAGTTGGGAGGAGTTGGGGAGGAGAAAGAATATGATTTAAAAACATGACATGAAAAAAAATTTAAATAAAAATTTTAAAAAATAACATCTGCTTGGTCTATTCAACAAAACAAAAAAGAAAAAAAACAACCAGAATCAATCAAACTAACCTTGTAAATAAGTTTTTTTTACTTAGATTTTTAAAGGGTTACCATGCATATTTTTCTCTTAAACTATTCTACTTGTGGTTTATATAGTTTTTATCCAAAGAAAGTAATACTTTGTGTGCTGTAGGAATTCCTACCTCCAGTAGCCTTTAAGTTACCTGCCCATTTGGGCGTCACCTCTTATATACTATTTATATTGATTAAAGTGCTCATCTAGTTTCAGGATTTGGTTGCTGTTCCCCTTTCCAGCAGAGGATTGTGATCTGTGAATCTTCCCCTAAATAAATAATCCTCTATTATGCTCAATTCTGAGCTAGTTTGGGATTTCTTTTAAGTATCCTTCACCTTGTGTAGTTATTTAGGCCCAACTAGAGATTTAATGTGGACTCTACCTGCTTTACACCAATATTCATTCTGGGACTGTCACCTTGAAATCAGTTGCCATGACTACTTAGTCCCTTCAGGTGGAGGTAGAGAAGCTAATCCTTGGAAAAGTCCTCATCAAACTTTCAAGTTGGGTTTAGCTGTAGTTTGTTCAAGGATGCTCAAGAAGTTCTATGACTTGTTAGTTTCTTTTCAGTATGTCTGAGGGTAAATGGCTGCTGCTGAATTCTACAATGGGTGAGATTAATCTTGGCCATTTGGTTTGTTTGGTGTATGCTGTCTTCTTTAAGAAAAAATAATTTTTCAGTTAGTATTTACTAAAATCTTTGTAGGTATAATACTATGGAAATTTCTTTTTATAAGTTTTAGTCAATAAATTTAATAGCCACTTCAAAATCTTGTTCTGTTGGTAGCCTTTCCCCACTGCAATTTAAAATGTGTGAATGAATTGTACTTTGGGAACCTGATGCTTAGAAATTATAGATGTATTTTTTTCTATTCCTCTGTGTGTGTGTGTGTGTGTGTGTGTGTGTGTGTGTGTGTGTGATAATGCAAAGGCATGTTGGGGAATTTCTCTTGAGCACACGATTTCCCAAGTTGCTATAGAAACAGTTATGATGGAGAAGATTAATAATCCTATATATTCTGCATATTGTAAAAGAAATTTAATAGATTCTTTTAGTTTTTAATCTCTTTGGCTATTTGCATGGGAAACCATACATCATTTCCCCTGTGTTGATAACTAAAATTCTGATTTTCCTACTGCTAGATCCACTGAAAAAACATAATGATAACTTATATTTGTCTTGACTTATTTTATAGATAGAACTTATTATTTTCAAATCACTCCATTCTCCAGATGATAAATATTCATAAGAACAAATTTATTAAATATTCACTATGCTTCAAGTCACACAAATCAAGTCGTACTTATTGCATGCACATCTTGTAACTAAATATATGCTATCAATGCCAAGAACTTGAAGTGCCATTTGTTGTCTGAAAAGCATGATGGCTATAGGGAAAAGCTTTTGTATTTCAACATGATGCTACATTTTAAATGCAAAAGCAAAAATTAACAGTTGGGTGGAATTTTTCTACTCATCAGTTTATTTTAATGATCAATATATTTTGTTAGTTTTGTTAAATTGACAAGAGTTTTAAAATTCCAGCAAATACATGATAATTACGTGTTAAGCATAGCTTTAAGGGATAGTGGAAATGCTCTACCACTTTTTATGATAGGAAAAGATTAACCCAAATAACAACAGAATATGGTTAAGATTTAATAGTCTCTTTGCTGAGCTGAACCAGAACAACAGCAGCAGATATTCTATAGTGGAGAAGGGAGGGACATGAGGCCTCAACTTTACACAAAGAATTTCAGGCAAATAAGGAATGCTGAGAATGAAAGAAATAGTTTTTCCTAGGAAAGAGCATACCAATTGGTTATCCAACAAAAACTGTCAGCCCTGAGAACATATAAACAAGTAACATTATATAGACTGAGCAGATTATATTTAGGAATATATACATATATGTATATTCATATATGAAGAAAGGCAGAAACATATCACCTGGCATGTGACTATATATGTGTATATTCCTAAATATAATACAACAATAATAAATATATTATAATAGATAATTATAATATATTAAATAAATAATAATTTAATATATGTTATATATTATATAAGCTATTTTAGGAATATATATGTGTACACACACTATCTATATATGCATCCAATGAGAAAAGAGGTCATGAATTCAAAAGAGGGTAAGAAAGGGGTATATAGGAGGGTTTAGAGGTAGAAAAGAAAAAAGAAGAAATTATGTAATTATATTATTATCTCAAAAAAATAAAGAAAAATCTAAAAAGCAATCAAAAATTTATGATGATCAAGTTCAGTATAAACAATCAGCTAACAACTGTATCTATAACCACTTTGTTTTATTTTGTTTTAAGACAGAGTCTCACTGGAGCTCAGACTGGCTTCAAACTCATAGTGATCCTGCTGCATCAGTCTCTTCGATGAGTCACCACAGCTGACACAACTATGATTCAATGATAAAGAAAACCATGCCTCAATGTCGTCCCAGGAAAGAGAGGGAAGAATAATGGAGAAGAGAGGCGAATTAGAACAAAGTATAATTGCTGTGTGATAATGTTCTTGCTCCCTCAAAAGATTTGTCACTCATAATAGTTTAATAAAACACCGATTGACAGGAAGTATAGGCAGGACAGCCAGACTATATATGGAATTCTTGGAAGAGGAAAGACAGAGACACATTACCAATCAGTTGCAGAGGAAGCAAAATGATAATGCCTTACTGAGAAAAGGTACCAAGCCATGTGGCTAAAAATCATGGGCTAACATAAGTTTTAAATTTTTTTTTATTAAGAATTTCCACCTCCTCCCTGCCTCCCTTTTCCCTCCCCCTCCCTCTCTAGTCCTAAGAGCAGTCAGGGTTCCCTGCCCTATGGGAAGTCCAAGGTCCTCAGAGCTAGTTAATAATAAACCTGAGCTAATAGTCCAAGCAGTTTATAATTATTATAAGCATCTGTGTATTTCTGTAGGGGACTGAATGGCTGCAGGGCAGGGTGGTACAGAAACATCTAACTACATATAATAACAAAAAGAATGAAAATGGAACAGTGAAACCCAGTAATCCATAAAGTAATCCTTAAAACTACATTTTTAAAATGTCATCACTCCAGTGAAGTTATTTCAGTACAATTGCTTGTGGATTGTTTTGGTTTGTTATTTAAAGTGTGTTTAATTACTAACATTAACTTATAACCAGTATTTAATTCAAATGTGTTTGGCATATATGTGTGTGTGTGTATGTCTCCGTGTTAGTCATTCAATTGGAGTGGTCAAGAGGATTCATTTACTTATTTACTTTATGATTTTACTTTTGCAACA